GGGTATAAATACCAGTCAAGAGAGAGAGAAAGGAGGCTCTGAGGAAGAGAAGCTCCAAAGAGACAACACTCCAAGGAGAAAGAAGGCTGCTGCTGGTTTGTCCTGTTGCTCCGTTTGCTATATTTGCTGGTTTGCTGGTATCTGGACTGCTGGATACCCTGACGACTGAGATTGGTATTGCCCCAGGGACCCAACAACCCTAACCAGCTAGAAGTAGCAAAGAGACCTACACCCCTTCTCCCCAATAACCTTCTTTCTCTCCTACCTAGTGTTGGCGTGTTGGAAGGTATTAGGAGAAATAAGGGGTAGCGAAGGGAGGTAGGGGCATAATAAACCAGTAAAGTAGTTTAAAAGTATGCCAACAGCTGGGTGTGGATAATCGGCTAAATTCTCATTAATGAATATAAAGGAAATAATGTTGTTTTAGTAGGGTTTTTATTTTCCCTTTTTTTTTATTCTTTGTGAATTTCACATCATGTGCCCTAATCCCACTCCCTGTCCCTCCACATCCACCCTCTGCTCTGGCAACCTCCCTCCGAAAAGAAAGCAAAAAAATAAAAATAAAGGAAGAATGAAAAACATCTCATCATGGAAGCACTGGTGTGTCACAATGTGTCACACAGTATTCCCTTTTGTCCACACATCTTTACTTGCAAATGTTCATTGCAATGAGTTATTGGTCTGGTTTGAGGCCTCTGGCTTCTGCTACACTATCAATACTGGATCCTAACTGGACTCCTCATGGATATCCTGTTGTTGCCCTGTGTCATGAAGATCCTGCCGCTTTGGTTCTGCCAGCCCCTTCATGTGCCCCAACAGTTCATAGATGGGCAGATGTTGGGGTGGGCCACTCAAAGCCCTGGATCTGGGCCTGGGTGGTAGCTGAGCTGGTCACCCTGCCAGCGCTCCTGCACCCACGCCACCAGGGCCAGCTCTCCCAGCACGCTGATGTCCTAGGGCTCCACAGAGACCCTCGATGGCTGCAGTACTCAGGAAAGCAGGCCCCACACCTTGCCTCGGCAGCAAAGTAGAGTAGGCTCTGGTGGCAGGGGTACTGGAGAACTACTTTACCCCACTCCCTACCCCTCACCTTTTGCAGCAGGTGGGAAAGCTGTCCCCAAGGAGGTGAGAGTATTGGGAGAGCTGGCCCTACTCCTTGCTGCCTGCATTACTTGGGAGAGGAGGCTCTATACCTCACCCAGCACAGTGGCCTAGGCTTCTTGGGAGAGCCAGCCCTGAGGGTATGAGCTGGCCCTGCCCCCTTCCTAGGCAGCATGGGTGAGCTGACCCTACTCTGGAGAGGAGGCGGACAGCTCTCCCAAGCTGCTTAGGCAAAGAGCAGGGCCAGACCTCAGACATCAACATGGCCCTAGGTGGCAGCCCAGATGAGGGACATCCACATGGCCTTTGATGGTAACATAGCCACGGACATTGACATAGGGTCCTGCTGATGCAGGGCCATGGACCCAGACACGGCCCTCAGCAGCAGGGCAGCTCTGGATGGGACTTCACCATGGCCTCAGCTGGCAGAGCAGGCTATTCACACCAGATTGTTCCTCCCCATCCTCGCCTCTCTAGTTCTGCCTCTGTTCACAGTGCTCCAACCATTCTGCTTCTCTCTCTCTCCCATCTGTCCACCACATCCTTGCTCATCGTAGGCTCTTCTGCCCACCCAAGCTGTACAGTGATGGGAAGAGGCCTCTGGCTGTCTTCCAGCCTGGCCCTCCTGCCGGTGTTTTGTTGTTGGTGTTTGTAAATGAACTCTCCATATGGAGCTCTAGTTGGCCTGTAATTTCCTAAATAGACCAGACTGGCCTCCACTTAGACATCCTTCCTGCCTCTGCCTCCTAAAGGCTGGGATTACAAGAATATGTCATCATGCCTGGATTCTTATTTGTTTTTCTTTCAAGATAAAGTAAGAATTCATGCCCTCACTGCCACCATTTCTCTCCTGGAACATTACCCTGAGCAAGGGTAAAACAGGGGTTGCCCGCAAAGAAAGATTCATTTGAAGGTGAAGACTGCTCAGAGTGATTCAGATGACAAGATCAGCAAGGAAATAATTGAGTATGGTGCTCATGCTTAGAATCAAAGTACATGGGAGTCTGCAGGCTGCTCAGGAGTTCAAGTCTAGTCTAGGCTTCAGTGGTCGTCTAGGGTACATAGCAAGTCTTTCTCTCAGAAAGGGATAAGGGGGCTGGAGCAACAATTCAGCAGTTAAAAGCTGTTGCTGTGCAATCATGAGGACTGGAGTTCAGATCCCAGCCCATGTCTAACAAACTGGAGTCCTGAGCTCTCCTAGAATTTTAGCTCTAAGGGCAATAGAGGCAGGAGGATAACTGGGAGCTTGCTGGCCCCAGATTCAGGCAGAGCAAACACAAAGCATTTGTGTGGTAGGCTCTGGAGGACTAGGAATTCAAGGATGAGAGGATAGAAGCTCCACAAGGACCAAATATATCAGAGCACAGGGGTCTTTTATGAGACTGTTTCTCCAACCAAGGCCCATGTGAGGATACAACCTAGAACCCCTGCTCAGATGTAGTTCACAGTCGCTCAGTATCCAAGAGGGTTTCCTAGTAAGGGGAACAAGGACTATTTCTGACATGAAATCAATGGCTGGCTCTTTGACACCCCCTCCCCCGAGGCCACAGAGGAGGACATTGTAGCCAGTCCTGAAGATACCTGATAAGCTAGGGTCAGATGGAAGGGGAGGAGAACCTCCCCTATCAGTGGACTTGGAAAGGGGCAGGGAGGAGATGAGGGAGAGTGGGATTGGGAGGGAATGAAGGAGGGGGCTTCAGCTGGATACAAATTAAATAACCTGTAATTAATATAAAAAATAAAAATTATAAAAAAAGGGAATTCAAGGTCCTCTTTAACTACTAGAGGAGTTCAAGACTAACCCAAAATACGTGAAACTCTGTTTCAAAACAAACAAAACAAAATCTCAAAAGCCTAGGCTTTGGAAGGGGGTTGTATGCTTCTGTGGGTAAGAGTTCAGACCCCAGCCCCTGCTCAAAAATTTGGATGTGGCCATGCACTCCTGGGCCCCCAGTGCTGTGGTATAGAGACAAGAGGATCACTGGGGTTTATTGGTCACCAGCCTAGCTCCAGGTTCAGTGAGCGGCCCCATCTCAAAGGCAGAGAACGGTAGAGCAGAGAATCCTCCTCTGGGATCCACATGGACACCAGAAAATAAACACATAAAAATAATAATTGTTTAATGCCTAGATTTGGGAGTATGGAAGTGATCAAGATACAGTGACACATGCCTGATATCAGAAAGCAGAGGCAGGGAGACTGGGAGTTCAAGGCCCGTGTGGGCTACATAGGAAGAAACTGCTCAAAACAGTAAGGAGTCAAGAACATAGCTAGTGGTAGCAGCAGGAGTGGAAGAGAAAACGGACATGGTAAACTTTACAAAAGGCGTATCCTGGGGACTTGGCAACTGTTCAAATTCGAGAAGACTTAAACTTGAAGGTTCCCAGAAGCAGATCATAATGATGTTGGCAACAGAAACAGGGAAGTCAAACAGACAGGCGGGCTGGAGGGAGGCGACCATAAAGCAGGTTTTAAACATGTTGAGCCGACGTGCTGCAGGATATCTGGGTGGAGGTGGAAAGCAGGAGCGAGGCTGGAATCCCATTTCTGGAGCATGACCTCAGTCTTTTTGCATAAGGGTGGCAGCCTGAGCAAAGGGAGGAAGAGCTACCTGGAAAAGAAGAGCATTGTTCCGTAGGAATCGCTCCTCCTTGCACACAGAGACAAACCAGGATCTGGGAAACAAGATAAAAATATGTGCAGGTCCTCATCCAATGCACACACCTCCCTGCCACCAACAAGGTCCCACTTCAACAAGCTCTACATCACAGCTAAGGAATTCTTTGCTGTCTCAGAAACTGGACATCCGACAGCTCCTCACGAGAGCGTGTTGATTTGCACAAGTCTCTGTTTTGGCACGCTTTAAGATTATTTTTCTTCACATTGTCTTCCTCTTTAATTTAGCTACATCTAAGACTCTCAGGCATCTGGGGCGAGGAAGCGCTTTTCAAAAGCAGAAAGAGGGAAATGTAAGAATAAATTACACAATAAACGACTGCAAAGCTTTCCCTTTTATTTGCTGTGGCCAAAGGAAATAGTAAATAAATGACATTTACCCAAAAAAAAAAAAAAAAAAAAAAAACATTGACCGTAAGCATGGGGAACCATCTTTCAGACTGCCAAACACCTGGCTGCACTATTGTCGTGCCAAGTCTGGAGCCCCAGGAGGAAGTGGCTAAAATCCCCTACGTGTTTCAGCTGAGGTGACGTGGCAGACACGCCAGAGCTCTGTTTCTCTAGGAGAGTTTCACGTCTTCAGCCGGGGTACACCAGGCTGCTGCCCAGAGACCCAGCGAGCGCGCTAGTGCGCGAACTGTCGCAGCCCTTGGCGCTGGGCTCAGGGCCACCCGGAGTCTCCGGTCACGGAAGGGCAAAGCCCCGCTAGAGCCCCGTGAGTGCACGCAATGACTTCCCCAACCCACCCACTCCTTTGTCTCTGTACCACGAAAGCCAACAGGACCCTCGGAGGAAGAAAGGATTTCCCGCAGGAGGGCGAGCGGGCACCCACCTCCGAGGGCTCCTCTCGTCCACTGGCAGAGGTGAAGAATGGCCCTCCCTCTCACCCCGAGACCCGATCGGTGTGCAGCACCGAGAGGCCCCCCTGCCTGCCCAGGGAGCCGCTTCGGTCAGCCAGGAGGGAAAGCGGCCGGACGACAGGATTGGCTGACGGCCGCACGCCCCGGCGGTCTCGGGAGAGCCCCGCCTGCGTGTCTGTCTCTCACACCCCCGGCTGTGCCTCAGGGAGGGCGGGGGAAGGGCGGGGCCTGAGGCAGCCTGGGGGCGGGGACCCGCAGCTTCAGGGCTCTCATTGGTCGTGGTCTCGGGGGCGGGGCGGACTCCGGCCCCTCCCTGCCTCCTAAACTGCGGCCTCCCGCGCGCCTCCAGCGTTGCATCAGCCCCAGCCAGCAGCGCCTCCCAGGGAAGGCTGGGCGCGGCGCGGTCTGCTCTGCCAGGCTCCAGCCCACAGCCCAGGTCTCTCCTCTTTCTGGAAACCGTCCCTGTAGGGACCCGCAGAGCTGCGGAGCCGCGGCTGGCGCAGGCCACCGTCTCCACCCGATCCATTCATTGGAAACCGCTCTCTTCTCCGAGTCCGAGTTCCTTGCGTGCTGCTGTTTTGGAGCGGCGGGCAGCGACATGGAGAAGAGCGACGAGACCAACGGCTACCTCGACGGCACCCAGGCAGAAGCTGCAGCCGGGCCCCGCACGCGGAAGACGGCGGCGGGCAAAACGCAGCGCTGCGCCAGCTTTTTCCGTCGCCACGCGCTGGTGCTGTTCACCGTGTCGGGGGTGTTGGTGGGCGCTGGAATGGGCGCGGCGCTGCGCGGGCTGCAGCTCACCCGCACTCAGGTCCTCTACCTGGCCTTCCCCGGCGAGATGCTGCTCCGCATGCTGCGCATGATCATCTTGCCGCTGGTGGTGTGCAGCCTGGTTTCCGGCGCCGCCTCCCTGGACGCTAGCTCCCTCGGGCGCCTGGGCGGCATCGCGGTCGCTTACTTCGGCCTCACCACGCTGAGCGCCTCTGCGCTCGCCGTAGCTCTGGCGTTCATCATCAAGCCAGGGGCGGGCGCGCAGACCCTCCAGTCCAGCAGCCTGGTGCTGGAAGACTCTCCTCCGGCCTCCAAAGAGACGGTGGACTCCTTCCTCGATTTACTTAGGTAAGGCAGCTCTCGACCCCGCCAGAGGCGCCGTGGGAGACTCGTGCCCTCATGTCGCCTGGAGTTAATTCAGTTACTGTTGGCCTCTAACACTAAATATCAAAATTACGTCTCGGTTGCACGCTGGCCACACCTTTAAAGATTGGAGGCCACAGCTTTTGGCTGGAACCGGTTTTCCGTTAGGTGGGGGTTTCAAGTGTCTGCCTTTCCACTTGAGCTCTTTTCACGTGGGCTGTTCTCACTTTTTTTTTTTTTTTTTTTTTTATTCTCATCGTGACTCGAACTACATTACTCCAAAGCTTCTAGGACACTGAGTGACTTTTGCCTGTGGAGCCGTCCAGCTTGCAGTCTGAGCCCTCTCTGGTTCAGCCTTCGAGCTGTGAAGAAAGTTGGCAGTTTTCCGCAGAATTGTGGCTGTGTCCAAGAATAATAAACCTGGAGTTAGTTATGTGGTGCTCGTCGCGCAGATTATACATGACTGTTCCTCGGGCTTGGGGCAGGTTGCGGACGGTCTCGATTGGGGCCACTGCCTAGCATGAGTTCTTTATAGAAATGTATGATGGGTTCTAGAGGGTTGGGAGACAAATCTTCACTTATCTTTGCTTGTTTTTCTTACTTGAGGCGGGGGGGGGGGGCGTGTATTTCATCCCCTGAGGTGAAATAGTAGAGTTTTCAAAGCTTCCCCTCTTTGATCCTTCTTCTTTAATCCAAAGTTCATAGATCGGGGAACCGGCGGCAGCAGCCTGCAGGCATTTACTGATCTAACCAGGTTCCTCTGGTGGGGAATCCAGCTGGCTCTTCTTCCAGCTTTCTGTGCCTTAGCGGTATGTTTTGTCTTGAGTCACTGGGCAAGGCTCCTCATTGCCGAGGGGTAGAAAACTAGGAAACTCTGGGCCAGGGATTTGTCATTCTCCTGTTCCATTTCTTCATTTGGAAAATGTGATAACTGCCTGCCACTTAAAACAAACCCGAAGACCTGAGATATGATATTGGGGGAAAAATCTGCTGAGAAGGTCCAAAAAGTTCCTTCAAACAGAGCAAGGCAGTGCGCTAAGAGGACTTTGATGGGACTGTAGCCTTTGGTTCCTGCCAGACAGCTTGACAGTCTGAGAGTTGTGAAGTCTGAGAAAATAACTGTAGATGGGTTTAGAGAACAGAAATCTGCTGAAGCTCGGCGCAGCTTTGGTTTGTTCTATCAGGCCAGCTCCCTCCAGGAGAGGAGGAGAAGACAGCTACGGGGTTTGGGGATTTTTTTTTATTTATTTATTTTTTTGAGTGATCTATGGCTCAGGATGGGAGTATGATGTTCATCTGCGCATCTCTGTTGGTAACTCACAGGAAGCCATAACAGTGTACTTTCGTCTCTGATAAAAGAACTGGGCCGGGTGATAGTGGTGCACTTGGGAGGCAAGGGCAGGTGGATTTCTGTGAGTTCAGGACAGCCAGGGCTCTACAGAGGAACCCTGTCTTAAACAAGAAAAAAAGAAAAGAAAAGAAACGGCCCAGAAATTGGAGGCTGGAGGAGTGAAAACCGCTTCATTGCCATCATCTGGAGAAAGGACTTACACTACTGTTTTACAGCTGTGGTTTTAGACCCAAGCCCCTTCAGCTCCTGCCTTCAAAGCGAATGGCGGCCCAGTGTCATGGCTGAAGGGTCAGTGTAGGTGTAACTTGCCAGCACTAGGGCCGCACCTGTCACCTCTGTGCAGAAGAGCTGTCCCTGGCCGGTTAGGGTGGTGTTTTTAATGCTTCTACCAACTAGCTTCACTTGATCCAGCGGCTCGCGGATAAGGGCAGGGCAGGTAGTACAGCCCTGGTCCCAACCCGGGAACTGGGCAAAGATTAGAGATGAGAGTGCGTAGGACACGTAGGAGGCCGGGGCTAGGGCATCTCCCACAGTGGACTCTTAACCAAGGACGCGGTTTGTGGTTTAATGGTAGAGTGCTTGTCTGGCATGCTTAAGGCTGTGAGTTTGACCCTCAAGTGGGGGGTGGGAGGATAGGAGAACGGTCTTCTGCCCCATGGTTCAAGGTTGCTTGTCTTGTTCATTCCCCAAGACAACATGTACAGTAATGGTATTACATCACTGTTCTATTTAATTTTTATTTTTTATGTGCATTAGTGTGAAGGGGTCAGATCTCTTGGAATTAGCATTACAGACTGCCATGTGAGTGCTGCCATGTGAGCGCTGGGAATTGAACCCGGTCCATTTGGAAGAGCAGAAAGCACTCTTAACCACTGAGCCATCTCTGCAGCCCCTTATGGGGCTGTTCTACTATCACAGAAATGTTTGCTATGAACCAAAAAACTAAGAAGGAAACTACCATAAGGCAAGCCAGTGCCCCCTCCCTCCAGCCAGGCATGTGGATGAGCACTTAACTGAAAGGAAGTATGACTGTGTCTGCTTATGACAAGAAACAGGCCCAAACCACCTGGAAATGCTTCCTGGGTCTAGGGAGTATCTCAGTCAACTTCTTTCTCTCTCTCTCTCTTTCTTTCTTCTTTCTTTCTCTTTCTTTCTTTCTTTCTCTCTCTCTTTCTTTCTTTCTCTCTTTCTTTCTTTCTTTCTTTCTATCTTTCTCTCTTTCATTCTTTCTCTTTCTCTCTCTTTTCTTTCTTCTTCTTTCTCTTTCTCTCTTTCTTTTCTTTTCTTTCTTTCTTTCTCTCTTTCTCTTTTCTTTTCTTTCTCTTTCTTTCTTTTTTCTTTCTTTCTTTCTCTCTCTTTCTCTCTTTCTTTCTTTCTCTCTTTCTCTTTCTCTCTTTCTTTCTCTTTCTTTCTCTCTCTTTCTTCCTCTCTTTCTCTCTCTCTCTTTCTTTCTTTCTCTCTCTTCCTCTTTCTTTTTCTTTCTTTCTCTTTCTTTCTCTCTCTCTTTCTTTCTTTCTTTCTTTCTTTCTCTCTCTCTTTCTCTCTTTCTCTCTTTCTCTGGCTCTGGCTGTCCTGGAACTCACTCAACAGCTCAGGCTAGCCTCAAGCTTGAAAACACACACATGTATACTATTACCAACAGCATCAGCTGTGCAAGCTTGCCATTCCCAGTCCTTCCTCAGCTTCCATCCTTACAGGGGGTACCAAGATCTGAAAGGAGAAATCTTTGTCAACCAGCTCTGAGACAATAAACACCAGGGCTAATAAATACTTACCAGGCATATGTACTATGCCTCATCCTGTTCTGGAGTCTTTGAAGTTCCGACAGACTTAGTAAAGAATTTTTGAACTTAAATAAAAGGAAATACTTCTGAAGCAACCACAACATAAAAGAGCAAGAGTTCACTATATATACAAACATATGAACATATTTTATATTCTTATATAGAATAGGGAAAGGCACATCACCCTTGACAATAGATCAGAAGGACAAACAGCACCAGATGAAACATTTTTGAAGTTTCTCACACTGAGCTGTGGGGCTGTGAAGCACAGCCAAACTCTCTACTTGCCCGTATAAGCCTCACACCTGTTTTCCTGCTTAAGTTATATATCCAAGTGATGTATCACTATACATGAAGGCTTGCCCATTCACTCTGTCCAAGTTTGGTCTGAGTGACTGGATCTCTGGATTGAATAGTACACTTAGCATTTTTGTGTTCTCATTTTTGCCCATAGTACGAAATATCTTTTATATTAACAGCATCTACATATATACACTCCTCAGGTCCCCACAAATCACAAATCACAGCAATTTATAACAACAGTGGTTTAAGTGTGGTACATGGTCACTTCTAAAATGCTAATAAAGCCAGTAAATTGATTTTGTGGGCAACTTGTGTGGGAGATGCTTTGGTCTAATGCATAAATGGTGTTCTGTAACTCAGGTGAATTGGAATCAAACAACAGAAAAATGAAATAGATGGAAAGCTAGACAAGATGAAGAGTCCCAGGGTTAGAAACACATGATGATGCATGCCTGTAACTCCAGCCTTTGGAAGGTAGAGACAGGAGGATTGGCTATGTAAAACAATATCTCAAAAAGAAAAACAAAAAAACACCCTATGCTCAGGGAGGTCTAGGGTGTCTAGAGATGAGTCCAGATAGACTATGTGGTAGTTCAGATTCTGTTTCTCAGAACAGCATGTGTATATTGCCTGGTAGGGATATACACTAGTCACGTGTGGTTATTTAAATGAAATTAGGGATATAGCTTGGCTAGTGGAGAGCTTTGCCTAGAATACACAAAGCCTTGAGTTTGACCCCAGCCACTGCTTAAAGGGGTTATAATATCCTTGCACTTGGGAGAAGCAAGTTTCTAGACCATGCTTTGCTACATAGTCAGAGGCCAGCCTAGGAAACATGAGACCCTGTCTCAAAATAGAACAATAATACATTTACTTTAAAAAAAAAAAAGATTCATTTATCATTTTTTACGATATCCTGCCTACATGCCAGAAGAAGGCATCAGACCTCATTATAGATGGTTGTGAGCCACCATGTGGTTGCTGGGATTTGAACTCAGGACCTTTGGAAGAACAGCCAGTGCTCTTAACCTGTGAGCCATCTCTCCAGCCCAATAATAAATTTACTTTAAAAGTAAGTAAAACTTTCATTTCCTCAATTGTACTGTTAGTGGTTATCAGTGTCTAGTCTAGGTGTTTCCAGTTATTGGCCTCTTATTGGAGGAATTAAAATAAAAGCTTATACTGATTTGTGAAGAAGCAAAGAAACTTATTCAAAAGTTAAGTAATAGTACTAAATCAGAAAGAAAATATGCTGTCAGTGACAGGAAGCGGGAGCTGGAGAGATGGCTCAGAAGTTAAGAGCACTGCTGCTCTTTGTAAACGGTCCTGAGTTCAATTCCCACCAACCACATGGTGGCTCACAACCATCTATAATGAGATCTGGTGCTCTCTTATGGCTTGCAGGAGTACATGAAGGCAGACTACAGTATACATAATAAATAAATCATTAAAAAAATGACAGGAAGCCATGTAAGCAAGGTCACTCAAAGCCCACAGTTACTGTTTGAGTAATCCCCTGGTGGGATTCAAGAGAAAGAAGAGGGGCC